TGAGTCAGCACGTGGGTGTGTGGTTTGAGCCTTCTGGAGAGACTGCGGTGTGTGTTGACGGGGACTCTTACCAGCCCCTCGCCACTTTTGCTGCTGAGCCGGGCTCCGGTCTCTACACTCTTCACACTGGCCCGCGCCCTCAGCAGCGACTGCAGCAGCAGCAGCAGCCGCAGCAGCAGCGGCAGCAGCAGCCGCAGCCGCAGCCACAGCCGCCCCTCCTGCCCCCGGCCCCTGTTTTGCCCCCCGTTCGAGTCCTCGCGTCTCACCAGGTTGCTCCGTCCCCCCAGGTAGCTGTGTCTTGTCAGGTTCCTCCGTCTAGTCCGGTCGCTGCGTCGTGCTCCTGTCGGTCGCTTGCCCACCCCACCGTTTTGTGGCACCACCGGCTGGGGCACCCTTCTCCTCCTCGTCTTCGCGCTATGTCTCGTCAGCGTCTTGTCTTAGGTCTCCCGCGTGTCTTGCCGTCGCTGCCGCCGTCCCTTGCACCACCGTGCGGTCCTTGCGTCGAGGGTAGGCTGCGCGCCACCCCTCACTCCTCCTCCCTTCGTCCGGCCACCGAGCCTTTTGAGACGCTGCACTTGGACGTCTGGGGCCCCTCTCCTCGCCCTGGCCCTGAGCGTGAGCGTTTCTTTTTGGTGGTCGTTGACGACTACTCCCGCTACACCACAGTGTTCCCCCTGGCGAGGAAGTCTGAGGTGACTTCTACGCTGATCAGGTGGTTGCTTACCACCCAGGACACTCGTGGTCGTCGTGTCAGCTGTCTCCACTCCGACCGCGGGGGCGAGTTTCGCTCCGGCATTCTCGCTGGATTCTGTCGCGAACAGGGCATTCGTCATTCCGGAGTCCCCACAGCAGAATGGGGTTGCTGAGCGTCGCATAGGCCTGGTCATGGAGATTGCCCGCACCTCCTTGACTCACGCCCGTGCCCCCCATTTCCTGTGGCCATACGCGGTCAGGTACGCCGCGCACCAGCTGAACCTCTGGCCACGCGTCTCTCGGCCGGAGGCTTCACCGACCAGTCTTTGGACAGGGTCCCCTGGTGTCGCGTCGAGGTTTCGTGTCTGGGGGTGCTTGGCTCTTGTCCGCGACACCTCCGCGGACAAGCTCTCGCCTCGCGCCGTTCCTTGTGTCTTCCTTGGTTTCCCTGAGGACTCCTCTGACTTCACCTTTTACCACCCTCCCTCTCACCGGTTCTTTGACTCCCGTGACGTCCGTTTCGAGGAGTCCACCCCCTACTACGTCAGGTTGACCAGGTTCGAGGTCTCCCGGTCCCTCCCCCCCCTCTCTTCCTGACCGCCGCTCCCCCGCCTGCTCCCCCGGTACAGCCTCCCCCCCCTGGTCCAGCCCCGTCTGGTGTGTCTCAGGCTAGCCCTCCCCCTTCGGTAGCCCCCCCTGTACAGCCTCCCTCCCCACAGTCTTCCTCGCCGCCTCCTGCAGGTGCTCCCTCTCGAGAGGTTGGTCCTGCGACTGTCCCTGTACAGGTCTCTGGTTCTGGGGGTGCTGGAGTTGGAGCTGAGCCGCGGGTTGCAGAGGACTCTTGTCTTCCGGGGGCTGGTACTGGTCGTGCGGAGTCTGGGGGTGCTGGTGCGGAGTCTGGGGGTGCTGCGTCTGGGGGTGAGGGTGTCCCTTCGGTTTCTGGAGAGCCTGGGTCTGGAGCTGGTGTTGGTGCTGCCTCTGGGGGTGGTGTGCTTGGTGCTTCGGAGGTCGACTCTGGGGCTGCCGCTGCCCCGGACACTACTCCTTCCCCCCACCCCTACCCGACCAGGTTCCAGGCTCGTGTTCGCCGTGCCCGTGAGGAGCAGCTGGAGTTGGAGAGAGAGGAGAGAGAGTTGCAGCGGCTCGAGGAGCAGGAGCGACAGCAGCAGGAGCAGCAGCAGGAGCAGCAGCAGAGGCAGCAGCCGCTGGAGCAGCAGCAGCCGCAGCAGCAGCAGCAGCAGCTGCTGCCGTCTCCTCCTCCTGTCTCGGGTCTTCGGACCCTTGGTCTCCCGTCTCCCTCTCCTTCCTCCTCCCCCTCTCCTCCCGTCTCTGGTCCTCCGCTTCCTCCTCCTGACCCCTCTCCCGCTGTTTTCCCTCGTTCTCAGTCTTCGTTGTCTCCTCCTCCTTCTCAGACTTGGGCCTCTCGTCGCTCCCCTCGTGCTCGTCCCTCGTCTCCTGTTCCCTTCACTGACCTTCGTACAGCCTTCCTTTGTTCTCGTCCACCTCGTCCGTCTCCGTCTGTGCTTCCGTCTCCTCCTGAGTCGGCCCTCACTGTGTCGCTTCCTTCTCCTGTCACTGACTACTACCGCACGTACCGTCCTGTTCTCTCTCGTGTTCTCGCCTCTCTTGTTACCCACCCTCGTGCCTCTGTGTCCTCTGTGTCCGCTCTTACTGCCGCAGTCACTGAGTTTGCCTCTACCCGCCGCCTTGACTTCGCCACCGCTCTTGTGGCTGCTCCTCCTTCCAGTCCTCTGGCCGTCGGGGGTGTGTCTGCCCTTGGCAGTGACGCCCTAGAGGACAGGCAGTTTGAGCTAGAGTTCCTGGCGGCCGCTTCCCCTCATCTCTGTGCCATGCTCCTCGCCCCTGAGGGTGACCCCGACGCCCTTGACATTCCGACTCCTCGCACTTACGCTGAGGCAGTGTCAGGGCCTTGGGCCTCTCAGTGGAGAGCTGCCATGGACGCAGAGATGGCCTCCTACAGATCCACAGGCACCTACGTCGATGAGGTTCCCCCTCCGGGGGCGAACGTAGTCGACGGCATGTGGATCTACAGGGTGAAGCGGCCACCGGGATCTCCTCCGGTCTTCAAGGCGCGCTACGTGGCTAGAGGTTTCAGTCAGCGCGAGGGAGTTGACTTCTTTCAGACCTTCGCGCCCACCCCGAAGATGACCACTCTTCGGGTGTTACTACACGTAGCAGCACAGAGAGACTACGAGTTACACTCTCTCGACTTCTCTACTGCTTTCCTTCAGGGCAGTCTTCACGAGGAGGTCTGGTTGCGTCGTCCCTCTGCCTTCACTGGCTCTTTCCCTCCTGGGACCCAGTGGAGGCTGAGGCGACCGGTTTACGGTCTTTGTCAGGCTCCTCGTGAGTGGCACGACACCCTGCGTTCTACCCTGTCTGACCTTGGGTTCCAGCCGTCTTCTGCTGACCCGTCGCTGTTCGTTCGTCGTGGCCCCACACCTTTCTTTGTTCTGGTCTACGTTGACGACCTTGTTTTCGCCACCCCTGACAGGGTTGCTTTGGCACACGTGAAGTCCGAACTGCAGAAGAGACACACCTGCACTGATCTTGGTGAGCTGCGCCACTACCTTGGCCTGCAGATCACCAGGGACAGAGCTGCTCGCACCATTACACTTTCACAGTCGCACATGGTGCAGCAGGTCCTTCAGCGGTTCGGGCTTCAGCACTCCACAGTACAGCGCACACCTCTTGCTGTTGACCACAGACTCACTGGACCCTTTCCTGACGAGCCGTTCGAGCCTAGTGGTCCCTACGCAGAGCTTGTGGGTTGCCTCATGTACCTGATGACTTGTACTCGCCCGGACCTCGCCTTCCCTCTCAGCGTTCTTGCGCGCTTTGTTGCGCCAGGGAGACACCGTCCTGTTCACTGGACAGCAGCTGTGAGGGTGGCGAAGTACCTAGCGACGACATCGGGCGTCGGGCTAGTTCTTGGAGGACAGCAGTCTGTCGTACTTACTGGTCACTGTGACTCCTCTTACGCTGACGACGCTGAGACTCACAGGTCTACTCAGGGGTACTGTTTCAGCCTGGGTTCTGGAGCTGTTTCCTGGCGGTCCACGCGCTCCTCTTCGGTCTCGACCTCTACAGCTGAGGCTGAGATCTACGCTGGTGCCATGGCGGCACAGGAGCTGCGTTGGTTGACCTTCTTGCTCACCGACCTTGGTGAGCGGCCGAGCTCTGCACCGACCTTGTTCACTGACAACAAGGCGTCTATTCTCCTTTGTCGAGAGCCGCGACTGGAGAGCAGAGTGAAGCACATTCACGTCAGGTACTTTCTTCTGCGAGAGTTGCAGAGGCGTGGACAGGCTCGCTTTGAGTTTGTGGAGTCCGAGGCCAACACTGCAGACATCTTCACCAAGGCGCTTCCGCCTTGTGACCACCAGAGGTGCTGTGTGCAGTTAGGCCTTGTTGACACTGGTTCTCGTGTTGCTTAGACTTGAGTGTACTGTTTACTTTGCTTTCTATATATCTCTGTTACTTCTTGGACTGGCCTTGTGGCCACTGTTGTTTGTGCTCAGACTGTGTGGTGACGTTGTGATCCACCCTGAGCTTCGTTTCTTGGACTGGTCTTGTGACCGTACTCGTTTGGTTCTGCTAGACACCCCTCACTTAGGCTATGGGGGTGTGTCAAATGTTGTAGCCTATAGTGAGGTTTGTCTTAGGGGGTACAAAACTTAGGGTTAGCTATATGTACCCCAACCAACATCAATGCATCATCCATTCTTCATTCTGACAACCGCCGCCTCACAGCTTCGGCGAGCGCGACAGAGACGGACCTTATACTGCATTCTAATTTTGGATTTGGCCATAGCTGATCCCGCCAGCACACCAGCCGCAGGGAACTAGGGTGGGGTTCCCGACAATTTAGTAGCTCTGGTGAAGGCAGTGATTCGATAAAAGCAGTGTAAGACAAGAACGTAATTGGATAACATAAGTTCGAAAATTCTTTATCAGATCTAGGTAGTACAGAACACTCTATACTGTATTATGTATGTACCTGAACAGAGTATTATTACCCTCTACAAAAAAATTAACTTTGGCCTGGCTCATTGCCATGTTTCTTCACTCATTGAATGTTCAATTCAAGCTCTGGTGCAGTCTTGGTAGGGCAGGCTGATGAGTCAGATCAGTAACATGAAAAAGGGAAAACAAAATTTACCTCCATCCATATTCATGGCTGGTAGGGTATGTATGAAGCACAGCTAAGTGAAGGTAAAAAAATCGAAGCATATATAAACACATAGGAAGCCAGTCAGCAACTGATGAATCTATAAGCTTAGCGCTCAATACACCTCCCCCTCCTCCCTTTCCTGAAGGCGCAGGCAGAGGGACAGACAGCCTTCCCGGCAAGCAGGCCGACGCTTCGCAGCCACCGCGGGAGGCTTCCAGTCATCAACAGCAAACCCCACCACACCAGCAGCACCAGTGACACCAGCAGCAGCTGAAGGGCCATTGGAGTTCTTTTGGTGTGCCAAGCTATGATTATGGCAGCACTTGAGCACCTCCTTGCTTGCCAGCAGCTGCAGCTGGGACATCTCTGCCAGGCTGTCAGTCACTACCCGAGGAACCTTGGTGCTTCCAGCTTTGCCAAGCCCCTTCTCGCCATTCTGGCATATGTGGTCCACAACACCGGCAGCTACAGGCATTGCTATAAAACCAGGTAAGGCGTCAGCAGCTTTCATGGCCGCAGCAGCAACCAATTCTGCAGTCGTCGCGACTGGCAGGTTCGTGGGCACGGTTGGCACAGGGGTAGGAAGGTCCCCCGCCACCATCTCTGGTAGGATCTGGGTGCGAGCCTCAGGGATAGCAGTTCCAGCATCTGTTGTTGGGAACCACTTGCTTAAGAGGTACTTAGTACGGCGCCAGGGAGCTATCGCGATTCCACTGCTTTGGAGTGACAGGTTCATGGCAGTAGCCAGGGCGGTGACGAGGGGTTTGAGCCGCTGACGTCCGCCGACAAACACGGAGGGAAGCTGAGAGAGAAGTTCGGCATAACGAGGGGTCGGGCGAGCCACTTCGAACTGCTGCCTGAAGGACACATCCACAACCACACGTTGAGTTGGCAACAGCAGGCACGGCTGCGCGGGAAGCAGCGGGGAAGGAGTCGGCCATTGTGCAGTCGACTGCTGCTGGTTTTGCTGCTTCTGCTCGTTATTGAGAGAGTGCAGTGATCCTTCCGGTTTCCTGCTGTGCCAGTTGGAGGGCTTGAATGGGGAACCGTCCAGAACAGATGTGGGAGAACCTCCAGATCCTATTCCCTTTGCGCTCGACGCCATGGAAATCTCCAAAAAGTCGTATTCTCCAGAAGGAGCCTCATGGGTGGTTGGCCACGCAGCATGACACAGCATGACGTCATGACGGCGAGAGGCTGCCAGGCTAGCAGCGACCTTCATGCGATTAGCAGCAGTCGCGTCACGCGGAGGCGATGAGGACGGAGAATAATGAGCAGGAGAAGAGGCGCTAGTGGGAGCTTCTGAGAGGAAACCTTCAGTGTTCGCGGAAAAGGGAGATTGGATGCCAGATGTCGGGGATTCTATAACCAACTTCACGTGCTCTTCCAGCAGTTTCTCCGAGGGAGCAGCGGTCGCAAGGCACTGCATATATCAAAGACGAACGACGGGATAAGTCTTTGAAAAAACAACCAATGAATAAAATTTTCAATCAGTGGCAAATCAGATTCCCAGGCTTACCAGCTTCACGGTCATCGCAAGTTCAGCCCACTCGTCTTCTTCGTCGAAATCACGAGACATGGATTGTGCAGTCTTCTTCTGTTCATGCGTTTCTTGTGTGGACTCCTGAATTGAAGCCTCGGGATATTCAAGGTCCAGCTCCGGATCCTTGGCAACAGCCATAGATGGACCTCTGGCATCTGCACCAGGGTGCGTCAGACCAGCAACCACAGGAAGCACAACGTTAGGTTTTCTGACATGCCGACGCTGCTGAACAGCAGCGGGTGGGGTCTTGCCTGAAGCTTCCTGAGCCATTGTTGGCTTGACGACGGCCTTGTGCGTGAAGAAGCGCTCAACCACCGATGCTTCTACGGGATCGGAGATCCGCTTGCTCCGCCTTGCCGGATTCATCTCGTTTGAATGCCTCGATCAGAGAAGAACTGGTTGCAAACCACCGCTGCGCGTTAATGAAACCACCCCTGCGATGCAGATTTCACCATCCAGAACAGACTGCCAGAACGGACCGAAGAGAACGCACGGTTCCCGGTGATCTCCATACAGATCACCACACTCCTCGAGTAGCCTCGACTTCCTGCTCCACAGATGCTTCAGAATTGGCCGTGACTTGTTAAATCACCATGGCCAACGGATACTGGTGTCAATGTATGGTACACGAGCTTCAGTAGCTCTAACCATGGGTTGCATTGACGGAAGGCGACTGCGAGGGTCTGAGCCTCGGCAGAGAGTAGAAAGGGAACTAAGTCAGGAGTGTCGTGAACTGAGAACTACGAGCTATGATCTTAGTTCCCTAAATTACTCAACCCCAGGCAGGAAAGCGAAGGGGGTGTGTCAGAGAGACATGCGTGGAGGGGCAAGAGGGAAGGATTCAGGTGGAGGACCGTGGAGGGGCAAGAGGGAAGGATTCCTTGCGTAACTGGGGGTTCGCGGAGGACGAGTGACACGTGTCTAGGGGGAGAGAATCTGGGATCAGGTCAGGTTCTGTGCAAGCTTGACGGGAAAGTGAACCGTTTGACGGCACATCGATTTCGAGAGAGGGGAACCTGACGTCTGTGCAAAGCCGACGGTTGACTTTTGTCAGCAGCGCCGAACCGAGCAGCTTCTTGATGCGATGACCTGCATGGATTGGCGGTGCAGAGTGGTGAGAGCTAGAGGAAAAGATGATGAAGACCGCCAACAACCATGGTTTGCGAGGGTTACGACGAGAGTTGTTCATCGTCAATCGTGTCCCTTAATCGCGGCGAAAAAGCGTTGGTTATGGCGAAACGTGTTGTTGCGACTCCAAACCAGAGGACCTTCAAACGATCACGAATGTGTCTTGTTCCCCTCGGCAACGTTCCCCGCATCCCAGACTGGCGGGGACGAGCACTTTCCCCGCACTGCACCCCAAACCTAAGTGGATAGAACAGCACATCCCCCTCCTGCCAGACTTCAAGGTTCGGGGGTGCAGCTGTGCTGAGCTGGGGAAAGATGAAATGGCATGAGGCCAGCGGACATTCATCTTTGCGCGGCCAATATCATTGATAGTAAAAGTATGCCAGAGACATTTTGCGTCGGTACTCAACCTCGATTTCTCATCGCTGATTGGTTCTAGCTTTTCAATCACATCGCTGATTGGTGTTCGCTTTTCAGTCACATTTTTCACGCTAAAACACATCAGTAATGTGACAGAATCAGAACGCAGTCACCAAACTGAAATATGAATAATTGTGTCGAAGTGCTACCAAGAATATACAACAAAAAAATACTCAATTCTTTACTAAGAAAACTTTTATCGGGTGCAAATTATTTAAAGATAATAAATAACCGATTAGGAAAAATGATGCAAATTGGGAATAACTCAACAGAATGGGGTCGAGGACACCGTCAAGCCTCCATTGATAGTGGACCTGCTTACCTCGGACATCAGGGCTCAAATTTATATTCGCGCGCCTTCGTGTTGGAGCAAAATTCCGTAAAGAGAAACAAAATAAATAAGACTCATTGGGAAACCGAATGCAATATGGGAAAGGATCAACCATAAACAATGGAAGGCTTCCCGTGTTTAGGGTTGATTTTTCCAAATTGTATACAGGCTATATATGAGTTTTGGTTTTTTTCTTGTTTTGTTTTCAGGGGTATTTGCGGGAAAGTAGCTGGTGATGCCTTTGATTCATAATTGTGCTTATAATATGAAAAAGTGCTATACCTAAATACTCTACCGAGAATTTGTCGGTTGAGTACAAATGCAAAATGCTCCTGGCATAATTCGAGTATCAATGAAGTTGGCCGATCTTTCCGTCGAGTGAGTGGCGCGGAGATGTGCGAGTGACTGATGGGTCATGTCGGTGTTGCATTGTGGCTGGACTGCTCCATCTGAGCAACTTTCGTGGCGCCACATCGTGCATTGTATCGCCAACGGTGGAGACGGCCGTCTCCTGATTGGCGAGATTACAAAATTCACTTGCAGCCGTGGAATCCAGCGTGGGTGTTCTTCAGATCCAGCATCAGCGTTTGCTGGGTGTGACCTGGTCCACGTGGGCATTTAGTGCTGTAGGGATATTTGTCACGGAGCTGTTTCCCCCGGGTGCGGTTGGTGGGACCACTCGGCGTACGCCTGACGTGGCTGACATCAAAAGATTCCCTTTTCTGTACAGTACAGTACTACAGTACCATGCTGGTGTCAGTTGCAAGTTGCTGTCAATCTTCCTCGCCTTGAAAGGTTCCACAAATCAGTTTTCTAATGGCATAAAATGAAGTGTGGTCGATCGGGAGTTGAACAATTACAATACGGAGATTATGCACCTTATAAGGCTGGTTGAGAATATGTTTACATTAGCTTCATCAAATGCATTCATGCATTGGAGAGAAACACAAAATTATCTCCGTCTACGTCAAATCAATCGGCACCACGCTCATAATCATGCTATGCTTCAAACTAGGTGCTGCTGCTGTTGCTGCTCCTGCTCTTGCTTCTGCTGCTGTTGTTGCTTCCACCGCAAATAAGTCTCCATAATCTCATCCAGGTCGCCATCCAGTACACCTCCAACATCGCTCGTCTCATACTCCGTCCTCAAATCCTTCACCAGCTTATACGGATGCAGCACGTAGTTCCTAATCTGCTGGCCCCACTCTGCTTTCACGACGTCTCCCCGAATTTCTCTAATCTCCGCTGCTCTCTGCTCCTCCAGGATAATGAGCAGCTTTGCCTTAAGCATCGCAAGTGCCTTAGCCTTGTTCTGCGCCTGCGACCGCTCCTCTGGACAGGTTCAGGGGAGAGAAGGGGAAAGAGGAATGGAATGTAAGGAGGACAAAAGAGACGCCGCCAGATGGCAGGAGGAGCAGTGGAAGCATGGGACTGTTGATTGCTATCCCCGTTGACTTGAAATGCCTCATCCTTCAATATGTGCGCTCATGGAAAGGGGTTAGAACCATTCTCACGGTTCTTCTTCTACCTGGTCCACGTTCACCCCACGGTTTCCCTCACCAAATCAACCTTACTCACCTGAGCATTTGACAGCAATCCCTGTGGGCACATGCACCATGCGCAAAGCCGTCTCCACCTAGCCACCATGTGCCAGCACTTACCATCTGATCAGCATTGATATCAACCCTCACCTGAGCATTTAACAGCAATCCCTGTGGGCACATGCACCATGCGCAAAGCCGTCTCCACCTAGCCACCATGTGCCAGCACTTACCATCTGATCAGCATTGATATCAACCCTCACCTGAGCATTTAACAGCAATCCCTGTGGGCACATGCACCATGCGCAAAGCCGTCTCCACCTAGCCACCATGTGCCAGCACTTACCATCTGATCAGCATTGATATCAACCCTCACCTGAGCATTTAACAGCAATCCCTGTGGGCACATGCACCATGCGCAAAGCCGTCTCCACCTAGCCACCATGTGCCAGCACTTACCATCTGATCAGCATTGATATCAACCCTCACCTGAGCATTTAACAGCAATCCCTGTGGGCACATGCACCATGCGCACGGCCGTCTCCACCTTGTTGACGTTCTGCCCACCCTTGCCACCCGCCCTCATTGTAGTCACATCCAGGTCGTCCTCCGGAATTTCCACCTTGATTGCTTCTTCCTCTAGGAGAGGCATCACCTCCACCCCTGCGAAACTCGTCTGCGGAGTGAAATGTGAGAGGGGGTACAATGCAAGGGGGAGGGGAGCCTTTAAGCCCTCATTGTAGTCACATCCAGGTCATCCTCAGGAACCTCCACCTTGATTGCCTCCTTCAAGAGAGGCATCACCTCAACACCTGCAAACCTCGTCTCCGTGACTAAAAGGAGCAACAAAAAGGCGCCCTCGTTGCAGTCACAACTTGCCTCTTGCTGCAATCACGTCAAAATCACCCACTAGAATCATGTCATGCCCTAATTTCAGCCACATGCCACTCTCATTGTAGTCACATCCAGGTCATCCTCAGGAATCGCCACCTTGACCTCCTCCTCCTCCTGCAGAGGCATCACCTCCACCCCCGCAAAACTCGTCTGCATGTAACAAGGGAAGAATGGAGAGGAAACGTATCAGCCCTCGTTGTAGTCACATCCAGGTCATCCTCTGGAATCTCCACCTTTATTGCTTCCTCCTCTAGGAGCTCCATCACCTCCACTCCTGCAAAACTGGTCTGTGGGGCGAAAGGAAGAATATGACCCCCCATTATAGTCACGTCTTGCCTTCATCGTAGTCACATCCAGGTCATCCTCTGGAATCTCCACTTTGATCGCCTCCACCTCCAGCAGCGGCATCACCTCCACCCCCGCAAAACTCGTCTGCATGTACCAAGGGAAGAATGGAGAGGAAACGTCTGCACCCCCGCAAAACTCGTCTGCCTCCTCCAGCAGCGGCATCACCTCCACCCCTGCAAAAATTCGTATGCGGAGTGAAATCTGTGCGGGAAAAGGGTAGATTTCAAAGAGTTTTTAAGCCGTTATTGTGGTCACGACGACTCACGCCCTGCACACATGCTCAGGAATCCCCACCTCGAGGAGGTATCACTAGGAGCCGCATTGCTTCCTCCTCTAGGAGAGGCATGAATGTGAGGTCCCACGCACGGGTCCTCACTCATCGGGGAAGAGCAGCAAGATAGAGATCCTTTTGGCGTTGCTTCTTCCTCTAGGAGAGGAGAGGCATCACCTCCACCCCCGCAAGACTGGTGGTGGTTAAAGAAGAAACATAGGCCCTTCTTGCAATCACGTCTGCTCCTATTATAACCACATGCTGCCCTCATTGTTGTCACATGCTGCCATCGGGGTAGTCACATCTTGCCCTCATTGTAGTCCCCAAAAGGTGACCCTCCAAAATCTCCATCTCGATCGAACATGCACACGCACACAGGCAAGACAAGTCCACTTGCCTCAGCCCCTTGGCGTGGAACGGAGACTGTCTGACGAGCCTATGAGTGCATTTCTCCCCGCTCAGGTATCCATACGCATACCGCCCCTCCACTTCCCCATACATGCATACCAACCAACCACCTTCCCTCATCACCCCAACCCCAGGACCAACCCCACCTGTCGGAGCCCCTTGGCGTTGAATGGCGACTGTCTGACGAGCCTGTGAGTGCCCTTCTCCCCGCTCAGATACCCGTACGCATACCGCCCCTCCACTTCAAGTGTTGCACTCTTGATCCCCGCCTCCTCCCCATCCGACCGCTCCACCACTCGCTTCTTAAAGCCCCGCCTGTCCGCCCACCGCATGTACATGCGCAACAGCATGTCCGCCCAATCCTGAGGGGGTAGTGATGCAGACAGACGCACACAAGAGAATGAGAAAGGAGAGATCGAGTATTGACCGCTCAACCACTCGCTTCTTAAAGCCCCACCTGTCGGCCCACCACATGTACATGCGCAACAGCATGTCCGCCCAGTCCTGGTAGGGTAGTGATACACACATGCATGCACGAGAAAACACACGCTAAGATGTGGTTGCATGGGCAACTGGCTTGGAAAAGCCCCGCTTGTCCGCCACCCACTGCATGTACGTGCGTGCACAGGGGCACACCCGCCCAGACCTGAGAGGGTAGTTACATGCACATGCACAGACATGTACATGCACAGACATGTACATGTGCAGACATGTACATGCACAGACATGTACATGCGCAGACATGTACATGCGCAGACATGCACATGCACAGACATGTAAATGCACATACATGTACATGTGCAGACATGTACATGCACAGACATGTACATGCGCAGACATGTACATGCGCAGACATGCACATGCGCAGACATGTACATGCGCAGACGAGAAAAGACACTGTTACACACACATAGCAAGTACGCTTCCTCAAAGCCCCCAAAGACCGTACGAGCGCAGCAGCATGTCCGCCTCAAGATTTTTTGGGCCCCCTCCATCCCACCTCCTGGGCATCTGTCCCACCTGCTCCAGCCTCACTCCACCCCACCCCACCCCACCCCACCCCACCCCACCACACCGCACCCCTGCCTTTCCCCATCCCACGTGGGTGTTGGAGCCGCCTGCACCCACAGCAATGGTAAGCCATGCGCCCTTGCGGTCGAACCTCCCTGCCAGCAGCTGAGCCACAGCGTATCTCTCCATGTGTGCTCGCACCCACTGCAACCCCACCTCACCCCACTGCAGCCCCACCTCACCCCACCGCATCTCACCTCACCCCACCGCATCTCACCTGGGCATCTGTGCCGCCTGCACCAGCAGCTATTGCGAGCCTTGCCCCCTTGCGGTCAAACCGCCCTGAAAGCAGCTGAGCCACAGTGTATCGCTCCATGTGTGCTCGCACCCATTGCAGCCCACACCTCACCGCACTGCACCGCATAGCACCTGAGCATCGGTCCCCCCAGCACCAGCAGCAATTGCGAGCCGAGCGCCCTTACGATCAAACCGCCCTGCCAGCAGCTGAGCCACAGCGTATCTCTCCATGTGCCCCTGCACCCACTGCAGGCCACTTCACTTCACTCCACCGCACCACACCGCACCACATCCCTTCGCATCTCACCTGAGCGTTGGTTCTCCCAGCGCCCGCAGCAACAGTCAGTCGCGGCCCCTTGCGGTCGAACCGCCCTGGGAGCAACTGAGCCACAGCGTATCCCTCCATGTGCCCCCGCACCCACTGCAGCCCCTCCCTCACCATTGCAACCCACACCACACCTCCCCGCACCACACTGCACTCCACCAAACCCCAACCCACCTGGGCGTCTGTGCCGCCTGCACTGCACCCGCAGCTATAGTCAGCTGGGCACCCTTACGATCAAACCTCCCTGCCAGCAGCTGAGGCACAGCGTATCTCTCCATGTGTGCTCGCACCCACTGCAGCCCCTCCCTCACCATTGCAACCCACACCACACTCCACCGCACTGCACCGTACCCCACCGACATCATACCGCAGTGCACCCCACCCCACCTGGGCGTCGATCCCCCCAGCCCCAGCAGCAATTGTGAGCCTGGCTCCTTTCCAGTCGAACCGCCCTGCCAGCAGCTGAGCCACAGCGTATCTCTCCATGTGTGCTCGCACCCACTGCAACCCACCGCACTCCACCACACTCCATCGTACCTGCGCATCGGTCCCTCCAGCACCAGCAGCAATGGTAAGTCGCGCGCCCTTGCGGTCGAACCGCCCTGCCAGCAGCTGAGCCACAGCGTATCTCTCCATGTGTGCTCGCACCCACTGCAGCCCCTCCCTCGCCTCCTCCACCAGTGACGCGTCTGGTGTCTGCTCCGTTTCTAGCAGCTCCACTATAAGACACACCTCCTCCACCTGTTGGTGGTGTAGGGAAGGAGGGCGTATGGATTCAAGAAATGGGAGTGCAATGAGATGAGATTAAATGGGTCCGGAAGTGCAGAACCCCCCTTACATTCTCATCCTTGCTTATGAAATGGTAGTAGTAAGCAAGGATGTATCCCAGCAGAAATGGTAGTCGGTACCTGGTAGTACGAAGATGAGAAAAAAAAAAAAAAAAAAAAAAAAAAAACTGGTACAGCAAAGGACAGCCGATCCCACATCATTTCACCAGAAGAAAAAATCATATGGTAAGCTAGCCAAGCAAGCTTGGGGAGTTCACACTAGCCTTATACCCCTCGAGCTGCTTTGGGGGCCTAGTGCCCTCCTTTTTGCGAAAAAAACGCCTTACTGTGTCCGCAAACTCCCCAACCACTCTGAAAACATCCTTCAGCTCCGTCATTCATTCACAACCCTCATGCCTCCCCTTCGCAATAAACTGCCTACCTATGTGCATACCTTGTCTACGCCCTACCTATGTGCATACCTTGTCTACGCCCTACCTATGTGCATACCTTGTCTACGCCCTACCTATGTGCATACCTTGTCTACGCCCTACTCTATCCGCAAATTCCTCAACCTCCCTAAAACCATCCTTTAGCTCCGTCAGCAACGTCATCAGCTGCTGCGCCTGAGCTAAATCTTCCCTCAAACCCTCCCTTGCTTGCAACCTCCTTGCCTTCTTCCCCATACCCTACCTATCTGCATACCTTGTTCCCCATACCCTACCTATCTGCATACCTTGTTCCCCATACCCTACCTATCTGCATACCTTGTTCCCCATACCCTACCTATCTGCATACCTTGTTCCCCATACCCTACCTATCTGCATATCTTGTTCCCCATACCCTACCTATCTGCACACCTTGTTCCCCATACCCTACCTATCTGCATACCTTGTTCCCCATACCCTACCTATCTGCATACCTTGTTCCCCATACCCTACCTATCTGCATACCTTCTTCCCCATACCCTACCTATCTGCATACCTTCTTCCCCATACCCTACCTATCTGCATACCTTCTTCCCCATACGCTACCTATCTGCATACCTTCTTCCCCATACCCTCTTCCCAATACCCTACCTTATCGGCAAATTCCTCGACTTCTCTCACGCCGTCCTTCAGCTCCGTCAGCTGCGTCATCAGCTGCTGCGCCTGAGCTGGATCCTCCCACAGGTCCTCCCTTGCCACGTCACGCTCCAGGTCAGCAATGGCAGCGCGCTGACGTGGCACGTCGGTAGTGGATCTGATGGCCGCCAGTTGCTCTTTAACTGCCTCGGCTTCTCGCCGAATCTCGTAAAACTCTGTGGCGATCAAACCGAGGAATGGGAGGTAAGAGGGGAGAGAAGGAAGAGAGGGGAGCGGGGGAGAATGGGGAATGGAGAGGGGGAAGAGGGGGGCGATTGGGGAGGTGAGAGGGGAGAGAAGGAAGAGAGGGGAGCGGGGGGAGAATGGGGAATGGAGAGGGGGAAGAGGGGGGCGATTGGGGAGGTGAGAGGGGAGAGAAGGAAGAGAGGGGAGCGGGGGGGGAATGGGGAATGGAGAGGGGGAAGTGGGGGGCGATTGGGGAGGTGAGAGGAGGGGTGAGAGGCGGTGAGAGGGGGTGAGAGAGGGTGAGGGGTTGGAACGTGAGTGAGGGGAAGGATGGGATAGTGGGGAGATGGGGATGGGTAGGAGAGGTGGGAATGGGGGTGACTGTGAGGGAACGACAGAAGGAGGTGTGGATGCGTCAAATTCACTCTATCCGTCAGATTCACTTTCAAGCCAGTTCAAAAGCGATATCCGCGAAAGGAGAAACCCACATACGGTGCATTAGCTCTTCGCCCGGTTGAGCCGCCGTGGTGACCGGCCCAAGCCCAGCCGCTCGTTTCACGCCGTCGTCCAATCGCCGGCTGCCACGTCCGCTGCTGCTGCTGGCGCCGCTGTTGCTGCTGCTCCATCTGATTCCGCAACCTCTAAATGAACTGGCTGAGAGTTTTAATCTACTTGGTCGATTAGGTATGTGGTCCTTATGTAGACTATCATTGGCGGACACAGCGACGCGGTACGGCGAGGCATCGGAACGGGACCGTGCAAGCCCACTGACACGAGCTAGGCCACGCTGGCACGCGCTGATGTGGACTATGCCACGATAGCACACGCTCCCTGAGTTGCTCTGCGGACAGAATGAGCGGCTGCTGAGTTTGAGCGGACCGGCGAGTCGCGTCGCGCGCAAGACTGTCGCCATGCTGTGGTACAGGCGTGACTAAAGTCTGCCGTTCATTGCATGATCATAAGTTCGGCGACAACAGCACTGGACTGGAGTTGGTGGAAATGCGACCGAAACTCAGACTTCAGCCAAGAAATTGTCGAAATTGCCAAATGAGCCGATTACAAAATCGTAACACGAGCAATTTCGTACGGTCAATCTCAAGAGGTTCAGCTATGCATTACAAAGGGTACAAAAGGGTACACAGAAGAATCCTTTATGGCACGAAAGTGCACTACGTTTTAGAAAAAGCTGGACGCTAATTACCATATGAGCCTCACAAGCTCTGTGAGGTTACAATGTGTTATTATACAAGGTTGAATGGCGCACTCCCATTCCACAACAAGAAGGCTTGATACAATGTGCATTCCATATGCTCGTGGTACTGGGAAGAGCCATTCGTTTTCAAGCAAATCCCACAAAAATATTTGTGCGGCGAGTGTTACACAATGGAATTGCAATATTGTCATCTACACTACAATCTCGACACGGGTGACATTCTCCTTTGTGCAAGAGCACAGGCTACTTGGGCACCCGTACGGGCATTGTTCTTCACTAGTGCTATGTCTGGAGGGAGACAGTGGCGGCAATTGTCGAATAGGGAGGAAGGAAAGAGCACAAGAAGAGAGAATCAGTAGATGACAAGGACAGGGGAGTAAAAGTGATACTATTCAAGATGAGATCAGGAGTCGAAAGATTAATAAAACAGAGAACAAACTTTTGATACCCATTCTTTGATTTTGAGAGCACGAAGAGTGGCATATTTGCGGCTAGTGCAGCGAACGCTAGATATCCTTTCGGGATCCTTATAAAGCAGGACGAGCAAGCGAGTTGCTGTACGTGATTTTCCGGGAGCCGTTCCCATATGCGCATTTCTTCACAACGCAGGCGCAAGTGGAAAGGGCCCTTAAGGCGTCAAAGACAGAAGTTACGAATTATAGTTATGAACAAAGGAAGACTCTGCTCAAATAGTTGAAAATAAAGACTAGTATGGTAGAACTCATGCTAAAGTATCACAGCACTATTACAGTAATGAACTTAGTACTCAGTGAGAGTAACAAACTTAATAAACTTGATTGGACACTGAGTACTAACTTCACTATTGTAACAGTACTCTGATTTCCTAGTATGAGTTATAACATACTAGTCCTTACTTTCAGCTATCTTCTTCAACAGGGCCCTCCACTGTTCATAACAATAATTTGCAACTTCTGCATTTGACACCTTAAGGACCCTTTCCACTTGCACCAGCGTCGTGAACACATGCGCAGATGGGAACGACTCTCGGAAAATCACATAGAGCAACTCGCTTGCTCGTTCGTTGATTCGCTTGAGCACGAACGGTGTGACCTGTGCCCTCTATAGGTCCACGTTGACTTTTGGGTCAACTCAAACACGTACTCGCACCAAATGAAGACCTTGCTGTCAGCTCCTTGATACTCTTGAGCACGTATGCTTGACCCTGTTGTCACCTGTGGCCCTTTCACACCCCATGAATACATGAGTACACATACAGACCCATCCGGCTAGAACGTACTTGCAGTGAGTGACGCCCCTCCTGTGAGCTCCTTGATCCGCTTGAGCACAAACGGTGTCACCTGTGCCCCCTTCACGCCCTGTGCGCTGTGAAAGGCAGCAGTAAGTGAAGATGCATGGAGAGTGGGCATGAAAGAAAAGGTGGGGCACCGGGGGAAGAGAAACAGGAGCAGAGTGATGGATTCGAATGTTTGCGAAGCAAACGGCTTGGTTCACAATGCCTCACACATGGAAGGCAAGCATGAAAACCATGAAAAGCGAATGTGCAACGTACAACTGAAATTCGCAATTCACTATACACTGTGCATACCTGCTGCTGCCACTGCTGCTGCAGCCAGCACGTGAGACATAGCTTCATCAACATCCACTCCTAATAATGCACTCACTCTGCTTCGGCAAGTGCCTGCTGTGTTGCTCGCTCCACCCCCTCCGCCTCTGCTGCCTGCCCCTGTGGCACCGGCACTGCTATCACCATGCCACTTGAAAGCTGCATGCGATGGTTGGCGTCTGGAGAGGGAGAGGGAGAGAGAGAGGGAGAGGGAGAGAGAGAGGGAGAGGGCAGCAACCACGAGAGAAGGTTAGCCTTGGTTCCTGGCAGCTTCTTCTGCCTCTGCTGCAGCCTGCCTCTGGGACACCGGCACTGCAATGTTGCAATCTGCATGCCACAGCTCCAGGCGGAGTGTGAAGGAGTGTGAGTGTGTGGGGGTTGATTTTTTGAGACGTCTCGGAAAATCACTTTTGTCACAGCACTGTAATCGCCATGCCACTCGTCAGCTCCAGGCGGAGTGTGAGTGTGAGTGTGTGGGTTGAAACGCAGTGTGAGCACATGACACAAGTGGAAGAGGAAAAAGAGCAACGAATTTTCACAGTTGAGAAACTGGAAGGTATATAAAGAGGGGGGGTGGGAACTAGGTGGCAAGCTCTTTGAAACTTGGACAGACAAGTGACTCAAGAAGAGCAGTGAAGCGGAAAATTAAAACCGGATATCCAGAGTGAATAGACGAGTTGTTTCAAAGGGAAAAGAAGTTCGAACAGAGGACAAAAAGAGACGGTACAAGGGCGCACCAATGAGAGCTGCACAACTAGCAGGGTCGCTGAGAGTGGCGGGTGCCTGCAGGGTGAAAGATGGGAGGAGGATAGGTTGATTGGGAGAGGGATGGGTTGAGTGGGAGGGAGATGGGTTGAGTGGGAGGGAGATGGGTTGAGTGGGAGGGAGATGGGCTGAGTGGGAGAGAAATGGGGTGAGTGGGAGAGAGATGAGGTGTTGGTGAGAGGAAAAGGAGAGTTGAGGCTGGTTTGAAAAATGCTGTTTCGTATCATGCTTAGCCACACGCATTGAGAGAGAGAGGCACTGACAGGGCAGCCAGATTGTGGTGTGAAGAACGCTGGGAACTCCTTGGCACCGTACACCACCACTGTCACCCCTTGCGTCTCCTGAATTCAAGATGTGAGAGAAAAGACAACAGAGAGCCGGGGAATAGGCTTGAACATTAAACAGACGGGAACTCCTTGGCACCGTACAGGTGTTGAGAGAGAGTGCAGCGACTTCACTCCTTCAAGGTGACTTTTGAGTCGACTCAAAAGTCACCTCGACTTCACTCCTTCACACACCACTCACCAGGTATTCAAGCGTTCGCGGAATGTCGAGAACTGACTTGACACCCGCACACACCACGGCCACGGGCGTGCGACCCAGCTCCGTGAGATCAGATGAGATGTCCATCGCTGGCGGGGGAATGGGGACCGGGACCGCAGGAACGGGGGAGAGGGGATGGCGGAAGAAGGGGGGAAATCAAGGTAGTGACTCCCGAACACACCACAGCCATGGGCGTGCGACCGAGCTCCGTGAGACCAGATGAGATGTCCATCGCTGGCGGGGGAATGGGGGAGTGGGGAAGAGGGCGGGGGAAAAGGGGAGAGGAGATGGGGGAAGAGGGGGGAACGTCAAGGCAGTGACTTGAATCCCGCACACACCACTGCCACGGGCGTGCGAAGCTTTGTGAGGTCAGATGAGATTTCCATCGCTGGCAATGGGCAGGAAGGGTGAGGGAAGGCGATGCAGGGGACAGTGGAAGGGTGAGGGAAGGCGATGCAGGGGACAGTGGAAGGGTGAGGGAAGGCGATGCAGGGGACAGTGGAAGGGTGAGGGAAGGCGATGCAGGGGACAGTGGAAGGGTGAGGGAAGGCGATGCAGGGGACAGTGGAAGGGTGAGGGAAGGCGATGCAGGGGACAGTGGAAGGGTGAGGGAAGGCGATGCAGGGGACAGTGGAAGGGTGAGGGAAGGCGATGCAGGGGACAGTGGAAGGGTGAGGGAAGGCGATGCAGGGGACAGTGGAAGGGTGAGGGAAGGCGATGCAGGGGACAGTGGAAGGGTGAGGGAAGGCGATGCAGGGGACAGTGGAAGGGGTGGGAGGGGAAAGGGAAAGAGCAGCTCTGTAAGAAGCGAATGATGGGATGTCCAGCGCTGGCGGGGCGTGGGGAAAGGGGAGAGGGGATGGCTTTGAGTCAACTAAAAGTGGAGATCGATTTTCGAGTCGACTAAAAAATCGTCTTACTACAAGAATTTTCCCTTTCCCCTCCCATGTGGAAATCCATGTGGAATTTTTGAGACATGGATTTCTTGACATGTCGAGTGAAAACGAGTGAAGCTCGTGAAAGAGCTGCGGTGGATGAAGGAAAGCAAAATTGCGCCCCAAACTCTTACTTCCCGTGCCCAATCTCTTTCTTTTCTACCTCCCCCCTTCCCGTATTATTTAGCTTGCCTTCCCGTTCTCCACTCCCCACCTCTCTTGCTTCGTTTCCCTCACCCTTTGCTTGTCCTCTCCTCTCTACTCACTGCTCTCCCACACTCCGCCCACCACCCCCCTCCCCCCTCCCTTTGTACGCTCTGCTCGCCTACTACTCCCCTCCCTCCTCTCTTTGCTTACTGCTCTCCCCCCCTCGATGCACGCCGCCTATGCCACCAGTCACAAACACAGGGATGCCCACCTGCGGTGTGCGCATGAAAAGAGGGGTGCAGGAAGGCGGGCAGAAGGGAAGGGGGGCAGAAGGGAAGGGGGGCAGAAGGGAAGGGGGGCAGAAGGGAAGGGGGGCAGAAGGGAAGGGGGGCAGAAGGGAAGGGGGGCAGTGGGCACAAATACTCGCTCTCCTCCTCACTGTTCTCTCCCCTCCCCCCCGGTGCACGCCTCCTATGCCTCCTGTCACACAGGAATGCGCACCTGTGGACATGGAAACGGGGGAGGTTTGGAGAAGAGGCAGGCATGGAAAAGAGCAGGAATGGAAAAGAGGCAGGTTAGGAAAAGAGTGGTGACACAGTGAGCCACCAGGATACGCAAAGCATGCTCACATTCGAGTGCACAAAGCCGTGACACCGTGAGCTTGTGAGCATACATACATGAGCATACTGTGCGCATGCTTGGTAACACAATGGAGACGATGAGAGACGATGAGCAGTATGCATGCACTCACAAGCACACGCTACGTATGCTTACAATCTAGTGCGCCACACACACACAAACACACTCTGCGGTGTACACGTTGCATGATGCATCACCACCACCCCACCTTGTGAGCGAGCGGCATTGTAGCTGACTGACTGACACAATGGTGGCTCCACTCCAGTGACGACTTGCAATGATGTGCAGTGTTGCACGGTCAAGGCCCACATTGACACTTCGGTGCACAATTGAACACGCATACACTGCATGACATGATGCATCACTGCATCAGCAGCACCCACCTTGTGGTTGGAGATCGTTTTTTGAGAATTCTGCAGATTGTTTTTGAGGGTTCTGCAGATTGTTTTGAGAATTCTGCAGATTGCTTTTGAGAATTCTCAAAAATGATATGATACATCCTTGATGCGTCAACACCCCACCTTGTGAGCAAACAGCATAGTAGCCGACACAGTGGTGGCTCCTGTGAGCCCTTGAGACATCTGCGGGGAGAGAATCAAATCAACCAAGGGAAGAAGAGGGGTTTCAGTAACGGCTTTGAGTCGTGCCTCAAAAAGCAGCAAAAACCAGCATGGTGGCTTTTGAGAATTCTCAAAAGGCAGCAAAAACCAGCATGGTGGCATACACGCACAGTGTAGTGAGGGTGTTTTTGAGACGTCTCAAAAACACCCTCACTAAACCAGCATGGTGGCATACACGCACAGTGGAGTGGTGGTTCCTGTGACGCAATGAGACACCGGTGAAGCATCAAGGCGTCACGTTAAGGGAAGAAGGGGCATCCCTTCGGTCGCCGGAACAGGCATTGATTCTTCGGTCACATATCAAGCATTGCATGGCAACTCTCTAACCGAGTTTTGAGTCGACTCAAAACTCGACTCATTACACAAGGCGTCAGAGGAAGGGAAGAAGGGGCATCCCTTCGGTCGCCGTAACAGGCATTGATTCTTTGGTCACATGTCAAGCATCGCATGGCAACTCTCTAAACGCCAAGGAGGAAAGAGGGAGCATGTGGGCGACTGGCAGCGAATGTGTGACTGATGATATAACTAGTCGGTGGGAGCGGGTTGATTGCAATGCCCGAGTTCTGAGGCGCCTCAAAGGAACGGGCTAATTTCGCTGTACAAGACAAGGGAGTGAATGAAGTAAGCCCCGCAACAGGCATGCTCCCTAGCCCCACCCCCACTGCCCCACCCCACTGCCCCACCCCCACTGCCCCTCCCCCACTGCCCCACCTCCACTGCCCCACCCCACTGCCTAACCACAAGCACCACCCACCATGCCTCGCCATTTCTCTCTCCATTCCCCACCATGCCTCGCCATTTCTCTCTCCATTCCCCACCATGCCTCGCCATTTCTCTCTCCATTCCCCACCATGCCTCGCCATTTCTCTCTCCATTCCCCACCATGCCTCGCCATTTCTCTCTCCATTCCCCACCATGCCTCGCCATTTCTCTCTCCATTCCCCACCATGCCTCGCCATTTCTCTCTCCATTCCCCACCGCGCCTCACCATTTCTCGCCATTGTCTGACACGCCTCACCTTTTTTCACCATTCCCCACCACGCCTCACCATTTCTCACCACGCCTCACCACGAGAGCCACATCCCGTCTGGCAGTCTTCACAGCAGCATGGCCGTCCCGTGCCAGGTGCTGCAGCTGAGAGGAGGTCAGCCCTGCAGGAGTGTGCGGGGGAGGGGGGTAGTGGCAACGAAAGGAGGGAAACGAGTGACAGGGAGTGGGAAACGGGCTATGTATGAGGCAACATGGCCAGCTGCTGCAGCTGAAGGGACGAGGAAGTGAGAATAACCAAAAGTGAATCTAACGCGCAAGCTTACAAAACAGCTTCCTACGGAAGCATCAACAGCTGCGATGTAAAAACATGGGTCCAACTTGGGCCTCCCTCGAAAATACTTTTGAGAATTCTCGGAAGTGGCCCCTACATGGGGCTCCCGCAGAGATACCAAAAGTGACTCAAACATGTTACATCCATTTGAGCTCAACTATTCATGGCCAGCCAGCAATGACGGCAATGGTGGCCGGCACGCTCCCCTCCCCTCCCCTCCCCTCCTCTCCTCAAGTCACCTGAATGGCATGAATGCTCACTCACTCGCTGGAGGCGTCTCAGAAATCACTCATCTATGCACAACTTATGAGGCGTCTCACAAGTCACCCAACTATGCACGGCGCCCGTCAATGATGACAATGATGGCCGTTACCCACCTAAACCCTTCCCCCTTGTAAACCACCCAAAAGGCTCACTCACCCACCTATGCATGGCCGTCCGTCAAGGATGGCAATAGTGGCTGGCACACCCCCCTCCTGGCGGATAATACCCTCCACGCCCTCTGCTGCTTGCAGATTCTGTGGATATGGCATGCCTTGGGAGGAGGTAAATACAGGGAAACCGGGAGGAACAACAGGTGTAAGGGAGAGGGATGGCCGGCCGCCAATGACGGCACAGCCCCCTCCCTCCGGATAGTACCCTCCACGCCATTTGCTGCCTGCATATTCTGAGGGCACGGCACGCCTTGGTGGGGGAAGATGGGGAGAGGTGGGGGCGAGAGGAAGGGAGCAGAGGTGTGGGGGAGAGGATATTCAAGCACCACTCCTCCACGCCCTCTGCTGCCTGCAGATTCTGTGGGTACGGCATACCTCTCCTCTCCTCTCCTCTCCTCTCCTCTCCTCTCCTCTCCTCTCCTCTCCTCTCCTCTCCTTTCCTCTCCTCTCCTCTCCTACTACTACAGCAGCCCCCTCCTCTTCCTCTCTCCCTGCAAGATGGGCCTGATAAGACCGTGCAGCCAACAGAATTCGCGCAGAAATAATAATAATAATAATAATAATATTTTGTTTTATATATAGTCACAAAATCTGCAGCTTTGCACGGGCTTTGAGATGTCTCAGGGCTCATAATCAGCCTACGGTTTCCGCGGTTTTTGTTGCCTGAAAGTTCCGAAGAGCGCGCTGCCTTAAATTTCCGCGGCATGCGCCGCCTGAAGCTTCCGCGAATTCCGCAGCACGGCGGGGATGGCAATGGCCTGATGAGCTTGCAGCGCATTGCTGCACCGCACTGAACCGCGGCGTACCATGACAGATGATAGTCGATTCCAGCGCCACGACAGGGCGCCCCGCGAGCAAGGCGCGTTTCACTTCATCCGACAGCGTGATTCCCGCTGCCTCTGCCGCCGCCACTCGCGCTGCCGCCTCTTCTGCGACTGTGGCTGACATTCCTGACGCGGGAGCGCTACGCGACAAACAGACTGATCAAATTAAATCCTAGCGACAGAATTTGAGCGAAAGAAAAGGGGCGTTCTAAGCCGGGCAGGACTGGTGGTGCTGATTGTTCCACATTCCCACACGTACGTAGCTTCGTCCCTGAAACGAGAACTTCTGGAGCTGGGCATGGTGGTACTTGGAAGCCGAACACCTGGCTAATATTGCGTACGCGGCAATGCAGTTTCCCCCATGTACAATTACCGGTAGGTGAAGCAAGAAATTTGAGCATTCGTGAAGAATTTCGTGCAACTGCTCCCAAGACAGTGAAATATGCAATTATTGTTGGCACCCACAATGAATTCCATTTTCCTGAGGGACAAGCAGATTTGGCATGAATGCCTGCTTGTGACCCACCGTAGGTAACATTAGCTCGGAAATCTTTATTTCTACAGCTTACACCCAACTCTTTCACTGTCAAACGTAGCTGCATGGAAAGGAGCACCTCATACATACGCACATTGCGCTGTAGCTGCAGAAGCACAACTATGATCTATGTAGTGCTATACAGAGTCATCTTTCCAAAGCCTTGGAAACAAACGTGTTAATAGCGGTCATCATATCTGTCTTTGCGGTCTCCGCCACCAGATCTGTCATAGGGACCAGACCTCGGCCTGCCGCCACCACCACCACGGTCAGACCCATAACGGCCTCCGCCGCCGCCGCCGCCGTAGCCGCCGCCACCACCGCCATATCCGCCACCACCGCCGCCTCCACTAGGGCACTCGCGGGCGAAATGGCCTTCCTCGCCGCACTTGTAGCAGCCACCGCCGCCGCCGCCTCCTCCGCGGTCCCTTGAACCGTATCCACCACCGCCGCCGCGATCACCGCCGTATCCGCCACCACCGCCGCCATACCCGCCGCCACCGCCGCCATAGCCGCCACCTCCGCCGCGCCCACCTCCACTTCCACGGGGTTGAGCAACGTTGACGGTGATAGTCCGGCCGTCAAGTTCCTTGCCGTTCATGGCCTTGATTGCATCGTCCATGCCAGCCTTGTCGTTGAAAGTCACAAATCCAAAACCTCGGGAGCGGCCGGTTTCTCGGTCATTCACAACCTGAACAGGACGGTTTCCATCGCAACGAGCTCAGGTAAAGAGTTTCCGAACATAAGAACCCGGCAGGTCAAGCTCCCTCATCAGAATACGTAACCCCGCCATGCATGCTTCGTCAGAAAGCCGCCAATCAGGCGTCGTTAAACCCCGTCAATCAAAGTCCAGGAGCAGCAGATCCAGATCGAAACATTAAAATCGGCGAGGCCGGTAGCGCTCAAAAAGGTAACCCATGAAGTTCCGAAAGTCACAATCATCGAACCTTAGCGTCAACAGCTCCATAGTCGTGGAAAGCATCCGAAAGAGCGCGGTCATCCGTGCCCCACGAGAGGCCACCAACAAAGCAGCGGAGCTCCTCGTCACCCATACTGAATAAAGCTGACTGCTGCAAGAACAGAGGTACAGGTCAAGCGTGATAGCAGGGCACACAGCGTTCAGCTCGTCTTGCTGATGTTGCCGTTGCTGATGCCTGCTGGTGAAGGAAAGCACTGAAACTGCTTCTGTGGAGAAGCGAAATGAGGGTTTTGGTAAAATTGCTCAGATTTGTATTGTATGGATGGAATGTCTGCTGCTAGGGATGGGGAATCAGTTGGGTGGGTGGAGGTTGGAGAATATCGGAGTCAAATTAGCTGAACGGTCGTCGATCTCGCATCCCATGAAGTTCCGCGGACGGCTACGATCACACGAGGTCCCTAGGGTTTTTTTTTTGTGACGCGAGCCCGAACTCTTTCCACGCTGGCACGGCACGGGCAACCTCCACGAGGGAGGCTATTGCCTTCTTTGTGCACTTGTGACCAATTAGGTGATACCCTGAAAGTATCTTCCGTGGTGCCCATTGTGCTGCTCAATACAACGGCTCTTGAACGTGGAATACATTTGGGCTTGATGAGAATAAATACACCTCTAATCACTGGACCTACTCACTCACTGTCAAACGCTCATGAAGATTCTTTTTCTTGAGAAATATGCTGTGGCAGTGGGTAAAGACAAAACAGAACTAAAATCAATCTTACGTATTATTCTGGCTCAGGCATTTATGCACAATATTGATATCATATATCTTCATGTACAACTAATTGATAACTGTTTGCGAACATTACCCACGCATGAAGACGTCATTTAAACATTTCTCGTTAAAACTGATTCTAACTATGTTGCCTTCTCATAGTCGAATTTCTTATCCTCGTTACAGACACAATACGGAGAACGCCGTTTTGTTTCGAAATGAGGCTTCGACCCTCCCCCCTCTTCCTCTCCGCCCTCCTCTTCACGACCCCCTCCACCCAAAATCCTCCTTTCTCCTTACCTCCCTTTCCCTTCTAACCCCGAGGCTTGTTAGCTTGTTCCCCTCCTCGTCTCCTCACCTCACCCTCGTCGCACCGCATCCAGTCGCCACCATGGGGTGAGTTCTTATTGTAAGGCTTAAGGTTTCTTGAGGCGTCGCGCAGTTTGCAGCCTCCAATCTGGGCTTCGTTGCTAGAGGACAGGTCTAGGGTTTTACGAGATCACGGCAGGACATTCGCGAGGAGCGTTGCCTTAGACAAATCAAGTGCTATGGGTGACGAGTTCATTCGCGCGGATCCTAAAAATCAAAATCCGTTGCACATAATTCCACACACTGGCTCTCGAATCACCCATTTGATCTCCGACTCCATGGTTTTTTCTTGTTTTCTTAATCGGTGCACAATATCGTTCCCACACGATTCTTGTGCCTCGGATTCGTTCTTCAGCGTTTCGTTAGGTCCAGTCCCGCTCAAATCGATCCGAAACCTAAAATGACCCGACGGTACAACTTCAGTGTTTCGTTAAGCGCAGATGCCTGTGCTTCAGGTCAGCGACGAAGTTCTGTATAGCCTCAATGATCAAATTTCGTAATCACGCGAGGCTCTGTACAGTCGCATTAGTTTGCGGTGCATAGTTACAGTCGGAGTTGACCTCGTAATCAGCTCGTGTGGTACCTCTTTACCGATGCCATGCCAGTATGATACTCTCGTGTCGCGGATGCTCGTGACATGGTTGGCATCATTTGGCGTGATTGACGACTGCTCCTTTCTACGGGTCGTGTGACCCAGTTTCCTCAGCTTCTCTGTTAGACTGTTTGGCATGGCACCCGATGCTGTGAACGATTCTCTTTGTGTGTGTTCGCTTCCCCCCGATCCCTCCCCGCGTGTACGCGCACAGTAAGACGCGTGGTATGGGAGCCGGGCGCAAGCTGCGCAACCACCGGCGCAACCAACTGTGGGCGGACAAGCAGTACAAGAAAAGCCACCAGGGCAACGAGTGGAAGAAACCCTTTATGGGCTCGTCCCACGCCAAGGGCATCGTGCTCGAGAAGATGTAAATTCCTTTTTCCAGTGTGTTCTTGTTCCGCACTTGCTCTCTCTGCTTTTCGTGCCGTCACATGCATCTAATCCTTCTTGGTCCCCTTCGTTCTCGTAAATATGTAAGTATCCCTTTTCCGATGGCTTTTCCTTGCCCAGCAGCCCAACTCCGCTGTCCGCAAATGCGCGCGAGTGCAGCTCGTATAAAATGGCTACAAGGTATATTATGTCTCCCTGTCTCCCCTTCCCCCGTATCGTTTCTTTTGTGCTCCCCATTCTTCCTTTTCAGTGGTATTGAGGCGAAGCAGCCCAACTCCGCCATTCGTAAGTGCGCGCGAGTGCAGCTGAAAGAACGGCAAGAAGATCGCCGCGTTCGTGCCCAACGACGGTTGCCTCAACTTCATCGAGGAGAACGTGAGTGTCACGAGGGTCTTCAGGAGGTCAGGTTACGTGAGTGTAACGGGGGTGGAGGGGGAGGTTGGGGTGATGTTCAGCGGATCGCCGCGTTCGTGCCCAACGACGGTTGCCTCAACTTCATCGAGGAGAACGTGAGTGCTGGAGCGGAAGGGGGAGGGAGAAGGGGGAGAGGGAGTAGGGAAGTGCGGGGAGGGAGTGAAGGGCTAATTTAAGGATACAAGGGGGGGAGGAGATTGGTGTGATATCTAAGATTGCAGCCTTCTTGCCCAGCAACGACTCTTGACTGCCTACCACTACTTCCCATACTGCTCTTCCCTCTCCTCCGACCCTCCACCCCTCCCTTCGCTCCCTCGCATCCGAAATGTTCCCCTCTCCTCCCCTTCCGCTCTTCTGCCTGGCATTCCCTTTCCCCGTCCTTTCGCCAACCCCAACAGGACGAGGTGCTCATTGCGGGATTCGGCCGTAAGGGTCATGCTGTGGGAGATATTCCCGGTGCGACTTTTGAGACGTCCAATAACTCCTCCCTTTCCGCTGTTCTGCCTGGCATCCCCTCTCCCCCATCTTTTCCCTCACCCCAACAGGACGAGGTGCTCATTGCTGGATTCGGCCGTAAGGGACACGCTGTGGGAGATATTCCTGGTGTGCGGTTCAAAGTGGTGAAGGTGTCTGGTGTGTCGCTGCTGGCTCTCTTCAAGGAGAAGAAAGAGAAGCCCCGGTCTTAGACAAAAAGGGTCCTTAGTGATTGTAACAGATGTGATCATCATTTGATGTAATTCCTTGCGTATTTGAATTCAAAGCTGCTTGTGCTCCTTGTTCTAGAGCAACAAAAATCTCTGGTGGTCTAAAGGCTTCAGGCATGTATGTACAGGGTGGTCAACCAGTATAACTCGCCCAAGCAGGGCGAATGGGACGGAAGGGTGAGGTCGCACTGTTTACAAAACTTGCTTACGCAGCAACTTTTGGGCCCGCGCTGCATACATAACTGATGTTTAAGACAGGTCCCAATAACGCGTACAGTTGCTGGTTTCAAATCTCGCATCCACCATGAAATGGAGCAGCTGTTGCCTGCGCAGCTCGGCAGCCACGGAAGAAAGGCGGAAGAAAATTTTTTCCGTCTTCTTTGAAGCTTCTAATCGCATTATCGAGGGCAAAACAGTACGGGCTGTAGGGTACACTTTCCGGAAATCGAAGCGCAGGTGTTTAACAGCAGCGACGCGAACACCTCCAAACATTGCTTCCGCGCCGTCTTCTGTCCTTATTCTCCCCCCCATGGCGGAAAGGTTCCGCCCTAGTGAGACGGAAGAAGAAAGTGATTCTTTGTAAACAGAAGAATCAACTTTTTGATTCCACCTGAGTTCACTGTTCACGGGCCAGCATTGGACCCAGCAAAGGAAAGGGTTACTGCATTAAAAAACACATTGTTCGTTTTTTGAAAGTTGGATTTCCCCAACAGCATGGGGCGCAAATCTTTTGTTTTTCTCTGGCGAACCTTTCTGTTCCCGCTACAGTGTCCTGGGGCAAGCACATTTGAGGCCAAATGTGCCTCTCTCCTGCGGCGCTATTTCCCATTCCCCCCTCCATTCTGCGCCAGCTCCCCCATGGCGCAGGTTTTCCGCGGTACAGTCAACCCAGTGTCAAAATTCGTTGACCCTGGTTTGACGCGAGCCTCACCTTCCCATAACCTTCCTACAAAATTGCTTCCCCCTGGCTGCCGAACTGGGCTGTCAGTCAGCCCTGACAGCACGTTCCGCGTGCTTTGCGGGTGTAAAAACATTAGCATTCTAGAATTTCATTCCACGCCCTTACTCTCGCGAAGCCTTGACGTGAGGAGGAGGACGACGAGGCGAGTATTTCTTGCAAAGCAGCGGTTTCTGGTACCTTCCCAACATCACTGACATACTTCTCACAGAATCCTGTCGGGACTGACAAGTTTAGAGACATCACTAAGCAATTCTGACGCTCAATTCTGACGCTCTTGCGCCCCGGTTTAGCCGCTTAGCTTGTAGCAGGCTACTTGCCGCGACGATCGGAATTCGTGAGAGGTAGTCGTTTTAATCATCAGATCTCGAATCAGAACAGCGGCGAACCACCGCCACGTCATCATCGGCTTGAATCCGGTCTACCGGTGCCGCCATGGCTAGTATTGCCACGTCAGACGGCTCCTCTTCCTCTGCAGTCACGTCATCCTCTCCGTCATGCTCGGAGCCTGCCACGTTGTTACAGTACGAGCAACAGCTGCTGACGTGGCTGCGACGGTTTTCCGACGAGCTCGCGAGTCGCATCACCGAGATCAACGGCCGGATCGACGGGCTGCTGAGCGACGCGGCTCGGGTGGACGCGAAGCTTCGTGTGGCTGAGGCGAAGCTGCAGTGTGCTCCGGTGATTCGCGGCGCCGTTCACGTGAGTTCAGCACGAGTCATGATCAGCAACCCCTTTTTATCGTGTTTTCAGACGTCTCGCTACTTTCGTCTTCTTCCTGATTTTGTCAAGCAGGCCATATCAATCCCAGGGCAGTCCAGTCGCGCGCTAGAAAGGCGCAAGGCAAACTTCGCGAGAGGGCGATTTTTGAGTCTACTCAGAGATCAACGGTCGTACATCACTAATAACTGTTCCCATACTTTTTGCCTTCCTCCTGCCTTGTCAAGCAGACCATCTCAAGCCCAGGGCAGTCGCGCGCGAGTTACGCGCAAGGCGAGCTTAGCGGGAGGGCGGGGATGTCTACAGCGGGGATATTAATCTCTCAGAAGAAGCGGAACGAGAAACAGAAAGACAAGCAAATGGAAGGGCAGAAAGAGAAGCAGAAGGAGAAGCAAAAGGACAGCGAGAAGGTCGAGCAGGGAGGGAAGAGAGGAGGGGGGTTAAGCTTTCAGGAGAGACTTCAGGTGAATTACCAGGTGGCCCTGCAGCTAGGGTTTGAAGCGCTGGAAGGGATACGAGAGGAAGGGGAGAGGGAGGCGCAGAGGAGAGGAGTGGGGAGGAGGAAGCAACTTGGTAGGGGACGGACGGCAGGTGTGACAACAGGTGAGGCATCAGGAGGAGCAGCAGGAGCAGCAGAGGGGGCCGCAGTGGCAGTAGCAGCGGCAGCAGGGGCAGGAGCTGGCTTTAGTTCACAAAAACAGCAGCAAATGCAGCAAGCTGAGGGGCAGGGACAGCAGCAGCAACTTCAGCAGCAGCAGCAGCAGCAGCAGCCGCAGCAGCAGCAGCCACAGGAAGGGCAGGTGACAGTAGTTCCAGAGGACACATGGAGTGACAGTGACGAGGGTGATGACAACGAGAGCATTGACAGTGACAGGAGCGGTGGCAGCCGTGACAGTAACGAGGGCGACACTGGCAGCATGGAGTCTGGATTCGCAAGCAGCGAAGGGGGGAGGACGGTGGGCTCCCAAGCCAGCTCCCTCATGATGACTCGAGGGATGGCCAGTCTTGGGTTTCCTGGTGCAGCAGACGCCAGTCTTGGGTTTCCTGGTGCAGCAGACGCCAGTCTTGGGTTTCCTGGTGCAGCAGACGCCAGTCTTGGGTTTCCTGGTGCAGCAGACGCCAGTCTTGGGTTTCCTGGTGCAGCAGACGCCAGTCTTGGGTTTCCTGGTGCAGCAGACGCCAGTCTTGGGTTTCCTGGTGCAGCAGACGCGAGCCTGGGCTATTACAACCCACAGCTGACATCAGCAGCAGCTGCTGCTGCTGCTGCTGCTGCGGTTGGCGGGGCTGCTGTTGGTGGGGCGGGTGTTGGTGGCAGCTTCTCCCCTCTTTCCACCGTATAGCAGTCAAGCAGCAATGGTTTCTCCTTTCCCTGACAGGCCCGATTCTCTCGCTGCCCTCGCCTCGCTCTACGATTTCACCACAGCCATCCCCACCCCTTCCTCTCCACCTGAAGATTTATCTGCTGCGCTTTCCAGGCAACATCTTGCCCCTGATGAAACACCTGACGCATCTGCTTCTATTGCTGGGCACCTGGCCAGTGATCAGCTCTCGCTGCCAGGTGCCTGGTCAGGTGGATTTCCAGGTGGGCCAGGCGCTTTCCCAGGTGCTGTTCCTGTCCTGCCTGGGTCGTCCCCCTCTCCTCCTCCCTTCCCTTCCCCTTCACTCTCTCTCATGGAACCATCGGGATGGGCTGTTGACAGCTTCAGGTCCTTGTTGGAGCAAGCACTAAGAGCACCGGGTGCCGACAGCACTTGAACCAGTGTTACCAACCTCCACCCTTTGCCACTCCGCCTCTCTCCTTCCCCTCCCCGCTTCTGCCTCTTCTCCTCCGCCTCCTCTCCACCACCCTTCCCATCCCCGTCGCTCTCTCATGGAATCATCGAGATGGGCTGTTGACAACTTCAGGAGCGTGCTGGAGCAAGTGCTTAGAGCACCTCCAACTGACCCCGCCTGAACCAGGGTGTCCTGCTCCCGCCCTTTTTTTTTCTCCGCCTCCTCTCAGCCTCCTCCTTTCAGCTGCCATATCCACTGCTCTTAGAGCACACGGAATGGACACCGCCTGAACCAGCCTTTCCTGCTCCCGCCCTTTTTTTTTCTCCGCCTCCTCTCAGCCTCCTCCTTTCAGCTGCCTTATCCACTGCTCTTAGAGCACACGGAATGGACACCGCCTGAACCAGCCTTTCCTGTTCCCGCCCTTTTTTTTTCTCCGCCTCCTCTCAGCCTCCTCCTTTCAGCTGCCTTATCCACTGCTCTTAGAGCACACGGAATGGACACCGCCTGAACCTTAGTTGGTACTTTACGTTTTTTTGGGTCACGTAAACGTAAACTTACACTTGAGTTTACCTTTACGTTTTCTTACGCGTAATTTTACGTAAAGTCGCACGGGCAGGGCAAAAAAAAGTTTTTTTGTCTGCTAAACGAGAAAATCTGACTGATATGAGGTGGGAGAGGCTGTGACATGTCCGTGTAGATTTGGGGCATCTGTAAGTTGATGTAATAATGTGCTAACACCAAGCTAGTGATAGATTAGGCGCTTCCCATGCAGCCACTTAGTCCGATGATTTCTTATCTTATCGGGCAGCCAGAAATGTTTCTGGCTGACCGTAAACGTAAAGCCATTTTGGGCCCACGTAAGTAAACGTAAGTTTACTACGTAAAGTCACGTAAACGTAAACCCCCGTAAACGTACAATACCAACTAAGGCCTGAACCAGCCTTTCCTGCTCCCGCCCTTTTTTTCTCCGCCTCCTCTCAGCCTCCCCTTTCAGCTGCCTTATCCACTGCTCTTAGAGCACACGGAATGGACACCGCCTGAACCAGCCTTTCCTGCTCCCGCCCTTTTTTTTTTCTCCGCCTCCTCTCAGCCTCCTCCTTTCAGCTGCCTTATCCACTGCTCTTAGAGCACACGGAATGGACACCGCCTGAACCAGCCTTTCCTGCTCCCGCCCTTTTTTTCTCCGCCTCCTCTCAGCCTCCTCCTTTCAGCTGCCTTATCCACTGCTCTTAGAGCACACGGAATGGACACCGCCTGAACCAGCCTTTCCTGCTCCCGCCCTTTTTTTTCTCCGCCTCCTCTCAGCCTCCTCCTTTCAGCTGCCTTATCCACTGCTCTTAGAGCACACGGAATGGACACCGCCTGAACCAGCCTTTCCTGCTCCCGCCCTTTTTTTTTCTCCGCTCCTCTCAGCCTCCTCCT